TAATTCCAAGATATTCCACTTATTTGGAATAATTCAGAATGATTTCTTGGATTTGATTGGCTAATATCTGAAAATATCACGTAATATACATAACTGGTTAGTTGCCAACTATAGTTAGCAACTAACCAGTTGGTAAAATTTTAACAATTTGAAACACTACTGGAATATACCTCTGGAGAGTTTGTTTAAAGATTACAAGGCCTTCTGCTGCATAAAACTGCTACTTCTCTTCATCTGTAAAGATGACCTTAAAATGGGATATTCGGTTTCTTGTAAAGATTGGTTTGGCTGCAATAAGGTCTTCACTGATTACAGTTGCTATTGCTTCCACAATATCAGAAATGAGAATGTTTTCTAAGTTGTGTAGCTCAAAGATTAGTGTGTTCTTGTTTTTAGTATGAATTCTCTTTCTTGGAGAGTAGGTTGAGAAAGTCGCTTTGCCTCGTTTGAGCTTAGAAAACAGACTTGACCATTGTTTGGGTTCTGTCTGTTTATTAGCTTCATTTAATTGGTTGTTTACATATTTGTTCATATGTTTGTTGTTGTTAACTTTATTGAGCACATGTGTTGTTTGTTTTGCCGAGTCTTGAAACATGTCATTTGTTTGGGTAAACTAGCTGTTTTCTTCTTTTGCCACTTTGGTTTTCTCAACTGTTTCTTTTTTGTTTTTTGCTATATTTTCCTGTATACTACTACAGCTTGCAATGTTAACTGCGTTGTCTGAGTTCTGGCCTACTGTTTGGAGCAACTCCTTATTCTCTGTATCTTTATAGCTTGTTTCCCAAATTTCGGCTAAATTTTCTTCTTCTTCAGTAGCTAAAGTTTTTGCCTTTTTATTTTTTTTGTCGAATCCTGGGTTATCTATGCTGGATGTTTCTATACTATCTTGCTTACGTTTCTTGTATATAAGGGTCTTAGCCTCTGAAGTACCTTGTTGTTTTTGTATAAAAAGTGGCGAGTTTTGCATAGTAATTTTGTTTTTACCAAATTTCTGGAGGAGAACTGGAAAGAGTTTTTTTTTATAGAATAGCAGATTTTAAAGATTGGTACAATAAAGAAATATATATTAGTTTAGAAAAGTTATATAAATTATATTTAGAAATAGCTAATCAAGAAGAAAAGGTAGAAAAGCGAACAAAATTACAAGTAGATGAAATTTTTCAAAAAATACAAGGTTTGAAATTTTAAAAATTAATATATTAAAGATATCAACTTCACTATTAATCTTGTAATACCTATTTGGGTAGATATTCGATCTTATCAACTTTCATTAATTGTTCACAAACAAATGATCTTTTAGATCCATTGCTATTTTCATCTATAAGCCAGTACAATACACAGATCAAAAGCATAAATATTTATAAATATCAGATGCCCGATAGCTAACTATTGCTAACTATCTGCGCCAAAAATCTGATCTATATTGGCAATATGTTAAAAAAATATTCAGTGCATATCGGGTATTGAATAAATATTAGGTATCTCGATATTTATTTTTTACCCGGTATGTTTCTGATATGTTTTGACATATTGCTAATATAGATCAGATTTTTGGCGCAAATAGTTAGCAATCGTTAGCTATTGGGTATTTGATATTTATGCTTTGAACCTGTAATACTGGTTGATTTTTTTGTATTAAGGATTCTTTAATATAATAAACTTTTGAAAACCAATTACAATTAGTCATACAATGTCTTCCACCTTCTAACTACCTGGTTCAAGTAAGTATCTTACTGAAATATTATCTCTTAAATTGTTTTGCAGCCAAATTTGCCTGCAAACTTTTTTAAATTTTAAATTTTTTCAATAAAATTTTAAA